TAAATACTAAAACTTTTGACTTTGCTCGAATCAACTAATGTCACATCCTGGCCTTTTTATCTAGGTGTAAACAAATGATTAGTCCTTATTCACTTCCAACCAGACTAGATTAGTGTCATAGTTTCGTTGTCGCTGTTCTGAGCGGTTGCTTGTGTAAGTCACTTATTCAAGAAGTTGACACTTTTCATAAGCACTGCGTATTGTTAGAAATCGTCATCATGTCGTCAGGTGGAATGTCAAAAGCAGTGACAACACCACGTATGAAGGAGTTAAAAGACGTAAAAGAAGCTGATGCTCAACGAAATCGTGAGTTTCTTGATGTTTTAGAGGGGAACAAAGTGAGCGGAGAATTTGCGGTATCATTGTCAGAAAACGATGTGCCTCCTTTTCTACAACAACAGCAAGTTGCGAGTCCTGCTTTGTTTCGTCTTACAAATGTAAATCCGTTGATTCTCGTCTTTGATGGGCCTCCAGGTGCTCAATGCCAGAAAACTTTGAACATCGCGTAAGAGGCATGAATTATGTCTTATAATTCATCTTCTAGTTCTAAATGTTCCAGAAACGTCTCCAACGATCGCATTGCCTGGCGTGTGCTCTCCAATGCGCCAACTCGTTACGTTGTCTCACCAAACAAAGGATTTCTATTTAAGCAGGAAAAAATTGCTGTGAGTACATCATACATCATATCACGCAATTAAAAAAGGATCTTACTTCCTTCAGGTACAAGTGATTCTGCTTAACGGTGCAAAATATCATCGTCGCCACGCTTTTGTAGTCCAAGTGAAACCAGCTAGAATGGAGGAGAACAACCGCAAGGTGAGTATGGTAGATTTATCTTTTTAAAAGGTCTCTGTGAGTGTAGAACTCAGCTAACGTGGAGAGATATGTCTGCAGCAGAAGCAAAAGTTGTCCAAAACACGAGAATAGGAACCTTGTAAGCGTTTTGCATTGATTTTATTCACTACCATGTACAACTTATTTAGGTGCCCAGCTAGCGTGGATCTGACACCAGGTCTGTCTTGATTTGGGTAATTTGTAAAGATATAACTACATATATGCGCTATGCTGATCATATAGATGGGCGAAGGCCACTGCAACTGAGATAGTAACTAAGACATGAAATGGACTGAATCTGGGAAACCCAAATTTTCCTTCCCTTTCATGTGGCTGAGCTTAATTCGCTTCGTTTTGTCCGGTTACAATATTACTTTGGTATTCATCGTGGGCCTATAAGCGAACCCATGTTCGGGTAGAACTAAATCAATTTCAAAAATAATCCTTTTGGTGCCTCTCATTTCTTGTGCACCACTGAATCCACACGGTTGGTTCATCCTCACCCTACCAAATGATGGGGAATACTCTCGCTGCAATGCTTGCCCG